AACTTCAGAACCCAAAGGTCCACAGTAGAGTCTTTAGAAGTGAAATCAAAGTTATCAAAGAAAGAATGTGGCCAACCCTGGTCAGGTAATGAGCCCAGCGTCTGGGAGCACAGGGGCTCGGATGGCGAGAAGGGAGTGGGCTGTGACAACCACAGAAGGCCACCGCACCGTGGCAGCAGCCTGGCTTCTCACCCAAAAATTGTGAATGTGCATCTGTTTGGGAACTGACCCAAACATTAGGTAAGCTAACCATGTGTGGGCTCCGACAGAACCTACAGCTGTTCATTCTGGAATATGCAGGCTGGTGAGGAAGGAGCTTAAGTCAACCTTTCCCAGCTGGAGGTCCCAGAGATGAGGTGGCCTGTGGGCATCTCAGCAGCTTTGATTGTGGCTGGGCCACGCTGATGATCAGGCAATCTGTGCCTTTGGCTCTGCATGGTAGAAACAGTTCCTTCCTGCTTAGGAGAAAGATGGCAGCTCAGGGGGAGGAGGGAGATGAAAAACAGTCTTTGGATCTTGCCAGAAGTAAGCACAGACTCAGTTCTCTGTGCTTGTTCTGACTTTGATTCCTTTAGCTCCTGCAAGACAGATACTAGTTAAAAGCGCCATTCTTTTATTTTTGGTTAACTGCAATGCTTAGGACTGTTCAGCTATTACTCCACCACTTCCTGCCCTTGGGTGGGAGGTGGGATGTGTCCATTGTCTCAACTGGATGTCGAGTTGTGTTGCCCTCTTGGATTAGGGGCAGATGACAGAGTTGGGGGCCCAGACTTTGAAGCAGGTGTCGGCCTCCCTAGCGGGCTGCTGTTCTAGGGAGGGAGGTGGGTGTTACTTTCCCACGGACACCTCCAGTCACAACTCTCTCCACGTTCTGGAAAAGCTTCCCCATTATTCTCTACTAGAAGTGGAGAAAGGAAACAAGCATGCCCCTAAACAAAGAGTCTTTTAGGAGAAAATTTACAGATATCATGTGATCTAATTTCTCCAGGCAATCTGTAGCCCATATTCTGGGCACACTATATGCAGGTTTGCCTGTTTATGAAAAACAGACAGTATTCACAGTCTGTTCATTGCACCTGCTTCCCGTGAGAGGGAGGAATCACTATAGAGTGGTGTAAGAGGCTCTTCCAGCCCATAAGGGGATCTTTCTGGAGAGGTCCCGTTATAAGGGTCCTGCCTTTAGGGAGGTAGAGGCCACAGGGTCTTCTGGGAGAGCCCTCTCAAAGAGGAATCAGGTACTTGGCCCCTGGAAGTTTCTCTTTGCAATGTGTGACACGCTCACAGCCAGTCTGGTTCACGGAGGAGCTACTGGGAGACTGCCACGATGGCCAGTGGGATTGTGCGTGTGGAGAGCAACGGAGCAGGGAGGTGGGTGACATTCTGCAGACAGCTGATAGGAAGAGGGCCCTGAGCCAAGCATGGGCGTGGCAACATGCAAAGGAAAGGAGGTGAACTGAGGTCCTGGGGCCCAGAGGAGAAGGGGAGGGAGAGACAGGAAGATTTCTTGTGCTTTTGCCATTCTGTGATGTACACAGGGACACCAAAGACAGCCCACCTGTTCTCCCAGGCATTCTGCTGGGAGCTGGAGACACACTGTCTCATTTAACTTCCATAATGACCTGTGATCCAGATGTTATCACCTGGTTACAGAAGAGAAATCCCAGGTGAAAAGAGATTAAGTGGTTTGGCCAAGACCAGCACAGCCACCAGAGTCCTGGAGTCTCAGAACCAGGCTCCCAGCCCAGGTGATCTCCCTGGGCTCTGTCTGAATAGCCAGCTTCCAATTTGCCTGATTGTTTGGGAGACTCATTAAAAAGACGCCCCCAGCAAGCCCACTCTAGAGCTACTAACCAGAGATCCTGAGCAGAGGCCTAGGATGGGCATTGTCAATCAGCTTCCAGGTGATTCCCACCATCACTTAGTTTGGGAAGCAGTGACTTATCTGGATACTACCTTTGACGTGGGCTGCAGAGGACACCACCTGAGAGCACTCTAGGGGTTCACAAGGGGGGGTAAGGGTAATGCTTGGGATGCTTTAAAGAGCAAGGCTGAGAGGTTTGTAGCAAATCACTGACATTAAACATAAGGCCAACAGGAAGAGAACAGGGACATTCATGATGGTAAGTCTAAACAATAGGGTACCAAACAACCAGCCCAGTGGCTTGGCCAAGTGGATTCATTGATATTGAAGTGAATTCACAACTGCCAATGAAAAAGCACGGCAGCAATGTTCATAGCATGAGGCCATTGTGTAAATATGACATCCAGTCTACTGTCTATGGGAGATGTCTGGACGGCCTTCAAGGATGCCATCTAGAATGCTCTTGGACCCAGTAAGTAACAGAGATGTGGGGAGTTGTCCCCTGTGAGTCTGCAGGGAACACGGGGACAGAGAATGAAGAGCCTGCCCTGCCTACAGAAAAGGAAAACGGTCTCACCAAAAAGACGCGCGGGCCGCCTGCTCCATAAGCTATTAGCACTGGGTGCTTCTGGGTGGTGAGATTTGGAAATTATCTTAATTTAAAAAAATTCATATAGCATTTTGAAAATTGTAACTCTTTTTCGAGCGTGACTAAGCATGTGTGATTTATGAAAAGACAAGCACGAATGAAAGAGTAGGACCCAGTTGCTGTGTCAACTTCTGCCCTTTTTGTTGTCGGCATGGGAAACCCTTTTGGGCCCTCCCTGCAGGTGCCATGAGAGCTGCTGACATCTCTGCTCTGGGGGGGCGAGGACAAGAGGCCCCCAGAGCTGTGCTTTTGTGGCTAGGATGCCACATCCTGGGGATAAAGCAGGGGCAGAGCTCGGGATTCCTGCGAGGCCATTTGCTCTGCTTAGAAATCACAGAAACACTGGCTGTGGGAAACAGCCCTGGCGCCCAGCTCATAACCAGAAGCCGTTTCCCAGGCTACCCTTGAGGCCCCTGGACTCCTGAGCTGTGCAACTTTGGGATTCGGCACAGTTGGATCTCAGCTGCCTCACTGGTTAGAACAAAAGAAAAAGTCTTAGGAAAGGGTCTCTCTGCTCTGCCCCGCCTCATCCTGTAGCCCCAACCGTGGGGCTGTGGACCCGTACCACTCTGTGGCCCATTAGGACCTGGGCTGCACAGCAGGAGGTGAGAAGGTGCGTGGGTGAAGATTTGTCTGTATCCACGGCCACTCCCCATCACTCACATCACCGCATAAGCTCCGCCTCCTGTCAGATCAGCGGTGGAGGCAGACTCTCACAGGAGCATGGACCCTACTGTAACTGCACATGTGCGGGTTCTAGGTCGTGTGCCCCTTATGAGACTCTAGTGCCTGACGGTCTGAGGGGGAGCTGAGGCGGTGATGCTAGCGCTGGGGAGCAGCTGCAAATACAGATCATCATCAGCGGAGAGGTCTGACTGCACAATAAATGTAATGCGCTTGCATCATCCTGAAACCATCCCCTGCCGACCCCCAGGTCCATGGAAAAACTGTCTTCCGTGAAGCCCGTGCCTGGTGACAAAAAGGTCGGGGATGGCTGCCGTAGAGCCAGTGAGACCCCAAGACCCTCCTCTGCCTTCAGTGTCCCTCACATTGAACTGGAAGGTCCTCGAGATGTCCCCTCCCCTCTGCTGAACCTTGGGGCCCTTGAGATTCTTTCTTTGGGGGTTTAATTATCTGCCTTTCACCGTAAAGGTGACGGCAGTAGCGCCTGGAGCCCCCGCCTGCCTGCCCCACACATCACGCTGCGGGCCTGGGGCGTTGGCTGAATCAGCCCACCTTTCTGGGTCTCACTTTCTATATCTGTTAAATGAGGTGGCAAACAAATGAGATGGAGGGTGTGAAAGTGCCTGTAGCACCTGCCCCAGGGTTCCCCGACTGCCTTTCTGTGCAACGGGATTCACTCACCCTTCCCCGGGGCGCTCGCTGCGGGCCAGGCCCGGCCCTCCCGGCGGAGTCAGGTAGCCTGCCTCCCTCAGTCCTCACCCAGCTCCTCCGTTACTACCCCCGCTTCACAAGTGAGCAAAGCTGAGGCCCAGATGGCAGGAGGCAGAGCTGGGACCAAGGACCAGGTGGTTTCTGGACACAGGGCAAGCAGCTTGTGGCTCCAAACCACCGGGCAACACTGCCAGCAGCGGGCCTGGCCCTCTGCCGCTGGGACCCGAGCTCCTGGAGTAGCTTTGGGGGGGGGAGTAGCTGAAATGCGTCGGTTCAGCCACACGCTCTGGCAGAGCTGCCGGGAATCTGCGCGGTGTCGTGAGACAGAGCGGGCCAGATGGCTCCCAGGGAACCCACCCCGCTGCCCGGGCCACGCACGGCACCGACAGCTTGTGGGCGAGGGACAGAAGGTCTGCTGCCGCTAGTTTCTAGCTGCGTGACCTTGCAAAAGTCAAATTCACCTTTCTGAGCCTTTTTCCTCATCTTGTAAAAATGGGAATAAGCACACACGTGTCAGGGGATTGTTCTGCGTGTCGCAGGATGAGTGGGCTGGGGGTCACTTTGGGTGACACAGCCCTGGCGTCACTTTGGGTGCTGCTACTGTGGGTCGAGGCGCTGGGCTCGGGGCTCACTTAGATGCTGAGAACCGAGGGCCACCGCCCACCCCTCCCCCCACATCCCCTCGCCATGGCTTCCGACCAGGGAGACCTCTGCCTTTGCCCGGCGCGGTTCACGGTCCCTGCTGAATTAGAAAGCAGGTGAGGCAGGGCGCGCTGGAGCCGGAAGGAGCAAAGCTCTCTGCCTGCAGCCATGGATGGCAGTTTCATCTCCAGACTCCAGGTTAGGACAACCGGGAAGAGCCACCCAGACGCTGTGCGGAGGACTGCAAAGGCAGTTTCTCCCATGAACAAAGTTTACATTAGGACACTTTCTCGAAAAAAATCACTGGGGCTTCTCCTTCCAAACGAGAGAGTTTCCATTTAATCACATCACATTCAGTTTTTTGTTTTAATAAAATAAAAAGTATGTAGAAGCAGAGGAATGACACTGAAGTTTTTTATATTCCACGAAGCTGGGAAAAAAAGACATCGATAATTTTTTTTTCCATTGCACCTTTATTGTTTACTTTGTTCACTGTTCAGAATTTTCATACAGTCTTTCTCAAGTCACAGAGTCTGTGAGGTGGCTCCTTCCCCTCGACATGCTGGTTTGTTTCCGCCCAGCCCCTCTCGTCCCCTGTCCTCACTTGTATGACATTCTGCCAGTGCCCAAGGGGTTCCCGGGGGGGTTGTTTTCACCAGGGAGGGGGAAGGGAGGTGTGCAGAGCTGGCCCTCAGCAAAACACCCGGCTGTGTGTCCTGACCCCCCAGGGGTCTTTCCTGGACGTTGCCACCTCTGTCCCCTCTTGCCCAGTGGCCTCCAGGCCCCACAGAACTAAGGAATGGGCCAGATTGGAGTTTGAATCCCAACTCCACTAGTGACCATGTGGCCATCTCAGGGAAGGTTCCTGGTCTCTTTGAGCCCTCCTGTCTTCTTCTACAGCGTGGGGGAAGGACTCCCTCTCTCACGGGTTTACCATGAGAAATCAATAATTTAAGGTACATAACATGTCTGGCACGGTGCCTAGCACACAGTATGCCCTAAATACACCTTAGCTTCCTTCCTTCTGGCAGGGAAGAAAAGACATCTGATGAATCAATGTCAGAACCAGGTGCCCAGGGGCACTGGCTTTATTAAAGAGCCTGGTCCCTTAGCGGAGCCCAAGAAATGACTCTCTAATGGTGGAATTGCAGATACCATTGCGTGGAGTGGGGAGAGATCTGGAGGCTGAGACTTCCTCGGCATCACTTGAATCCAACCAGGCAGACTGCTGCTGCTTCTGCCCACGGGCAAGGCTGGCACTGGCAGAAGGAACACGGACACTTTCTTTAAGGCCGAGCCACTGTAGCCAGGCAAGGGCCCATTTCCGGGGGCAGGAGAACGGGGCTAGCTTGTATTTATCTGACCATCCCTGCCAGAGAGGAAGCAGCTTCACGTGGGTGTAAACAAGGAGCTTTAAGAAGCACAGCAATCCCTTAGGGCATCGTTGCATTCCCCCTAGTGTCCTCCTGAAGTCACCTGTCACAGGAATGTCCTCACGGCCTGAACCACCATGAGCTCTCACAGTGGGGAGCTTATGTGCCATTTGCACCCCAACTACTTTTAAAGAGGATCCCAGGCGTCTTGCTAAGGGAGGGACTATGCACCTAATACTGAGCTTCCTCCTGTGTTCTTCCCCTCACTCACAATACACGACCATTAAAATCAAAATCTGATAAACGCATGGCCACAAGAATGAATAATGCTGCCAGTAAGCAAGAAGCTGAATATTCCACCCAACAGGTGATCTGCAAATGTAGCTGCGCTCTTCTTCCTCAATGGTAGTCCTTTTCTTTTTGTTTTTTCCTTTTTTACCCTTAAAGCTGATCTGTGTCACTCAGCCCTTGTTCATGCATAATTCTCAGTAAGGGTATGGTGCGTCTAAGGTCTGCATGCCCACGATCTTCTTACATCTCTGATACAACAAAATCCACTCAAAGGACAATCTTAAAACATGCACAGACCAAAACCATGGCTGGTATTATGGAAACATGTCCTCCAGACCAGAGACAGAGAGAGAGAGAGAGAGAAAGAGAGAGAGGGAGAGAGAATGTGAGAGCGCAAAGGTAAAGGATTCAAGACAAGAGACTAGAGCAGCTCCACAAAGAGCATCTTGCAGTCGATGGGGCAGAGCACAGAAAACCACGGAAAGCTCTATGGATCTGGGAGCGCCTGTCTTGAATATTTGGTTCATGCTAAAAAATAGAGCACATTTATTAAAAATATATATTTATAAACCTTGATATGAACAGGTACACACGTCAAGCCAATGGAGAAAGAAAAATAAGTTATCTCCCTGGTATCAAACAGTCAGACACTGGCGGTGGAGTGGGGGCCTGCACGGGACTGCGCCCGCGGCTCCCCGCCGCACGGCCTGGCGGGTGAAGACCGAACACCTGCTCTGGGAGACACACGGCTGGGCCCCGTCCCCCCTGTTCATCCTTCCGAAAGCGCGACATCTGTCAGCAATCTGGGGTAAGGAGTTTCCGCACCCCTCCGCTCACGGGGGTGTCGAAGGCTGGTCTTCCACGCGCTCTCCCGGGGCCCCTGCCAAAGACGTCGAGTTCCTTGGGGTGTGAATGGGTTCTGTTGGATTCATTGTGCTTTAGTGTCTGCTCCTCTCAGCAGGATCGGTTTATTTTTGTGACCTTTTTTGAGGTTCGAAGGTGCATTTGGTGGGCCGGCGTGTGTAGGTGCAGCCCGCTTGTTCTCGCAGGGTGGGGCCACCCGTCTGCGGACACGCAGGACCCCCGTCTCCGGCCATCCTGAGGCCGCGCTGGGCCATTCACAGAGTGGTGTATATGTATACAAATATGATGACGATGAGGTTCAGAATGGTCCCGATGATCCCCAGCATGGCAAGGACACTCTCCTCTTTGCTTTCTTTTTCTTGCCCTCCTCTGTCTTCATCATTTCCACTCGTGATTACCATCTTGGTTGCAAATGTCTTTATCTTCCTCACCAGGCTAACCTGTCATTGGAAAGAGGCAGCACAAAAGATTATTGTTTATAAGCGTCTTCTCCATAGCCGGGCAGACCTGCTGGGGGTGTGGGGGAGAGTGTGATTTCATGCTGGGGACTAGACCACAGGTGGGGCGACAAATCCCATGGCTCCAACCTCGGGACATCTCGCTCTTGGCCACCGGGAAACGGGCTTATCAATTTCAGGGATGCACGTCCTGGCTCTGGTTTAGAGAGAGGAGCCCTGAGGTGCAGCCTGGGCACCACCTGCTTAGCTGAGCGTGTTTGCCCCATGTCCCCTGAAGCAGACACAGAGACGGCTGCACAGCAGTCAGACTGAGCCCTGCACCCTCCCCCGTGGCAGCAGGAATGTCACGCTTTCACATACGGAGTGGGTCCCACCCAGAAACGTGCTGCCCTGAGTTTTCATGAAGAATGTAGACCCGGCCGTCTACACTGGCTGTGGTGTGGGTAGGGGTGGACAGGACCCAGGGAGGGCGATTCGCTGAGACCAGAGAGGATGGTCAGAGGTCTACACACGGTGCCGATGAGGCAGCACCATGAGGAACTCGCAGAACTCCCTGGCAGAAACATATATCGGCACGATCACCTACAAGAGTGAAGGGACACACGTCCTACAGCCGGGCACCTGCTCTCCCAGGTGAGCACCCGAGAGAGAGCTGCGCTTCTGTGCACCTGCAGACACGGACAGGCACGCTCGCGACCAGATGTGTGGCGGTAGATCCACACAATGCAATGTCACACAGCAGTGAAGCGAATGAACCACGGCTACACATGACAACAGGACTAATGCAGACACTTAAAGAGAAAGAACATGTCGCGGAAGAATATGTACGGTATGATTCGATTCACAAAGACTCAAAAGATGCAAAGCTATATACTATATTGTTTTAGAGATGTGTATTTTTATTCTTGTAAAAAGTAGGCAGCGGTTAACACACAAGCAGGAGAGGGGCCTCCCCGGGGCAAGAGCAGAGCGGGATGCCTTCAGATGCTGTCGTTTCCCATCTGTTAAGCTTTGGATTGTCCCTTTAAAGTGTAGGCATGTGTTCTAGCTATTCTGTCGTGTGTATAATGTAATTTGCAACAACCAACATTTCTTTTTATTTTTTAAGACAGAAAACCTGACCATGCGGGAGGCACTGTGGGCAGCTGAAGCCTTCCTTTCCACTGATTACTAATCCAAACCACGTGTAACATAGATCTATGGCCATACCACCCTGGACGCCCCCGGTCTCGTCTGATCTCGGAAGCTAAGCAGGGTCAGGCCCAGTGTACTTGGATGGGAGACCGTATGTAACGTAGCACTAACGTGGGCGTGGTGGCGGCAGCCCGTCTACTTGCTGGGATGAGACCAGGACCAGGCCAGGCCCCCCAGCTACGGTTTCATCCATGCTTCGGGGTCGCGATGGCTAATTTTATCTGTCAACTTACCATGGGACGCTGAGATTTGGTCGTAGGTTATTCTGGGTGTGTTCCGGCTGCACGTGTGTTATGGATGGGATAAAGGTGTGGACTGACTGAGTGCAGCAGACCGGATGTGGGCAGCACCTTCCCATCAGCCGGGGGCCTGGACAGCACAAAAAGGCTCATATTCCAGGTGGATTCCTCTTGCCTGACTGCCCTGAAACTGCTATATCAGCTTTTTCCTGCCTTTGGACTGCAACTGTTGAATTCCAGGCAGCCCTTCCTGGGTCTGGAGCCTGAAGCCTGCAGTGGACTGGAACTACACCATTGTGTCCTGTGCCTCTGGCTTGCTCACTCACCTGCAGATCTTAGGACTCGCTGGTCTCCAAAATCACGCGTCAATTCCTTACAACGAATCCCTTTATATATGTGCATGCGTGCACACATATATGTATATGCTGTAAATATGTACGTATATACGTGTATAGAGAGAACATATGTCCATCTCCTACTGGCTCTCTTTCTCTGGAGAGCCCTGACTAATATGCAGTTCAGATGGCATCCCAGGGCAAACATCCGGGAAGGATCACACACAGGAATCCAGGAAAGCGGGAGGATGGCTGGAAGATGAAACGTCTGCGCGCCCCTCCCGCTGAGCATGTGAGGGCCGGGCCACGCTTTGCAGACACAGAACACAACGCACGCAAACCGATGTCTGTGTGAAGGGGAGGCGAGCCCATCTGTGAGGACTGGGAGAATGAATGAAAGTCCTAGAGGGAAGTTTCATTCCTTCACAACTTTGGTTTACTAGATAGACTTACAGTGGGCTCCTATTCCCATAGCTCTTCGAGGGAAAGCTGCCAGTTGGATTTGTTTGGTTTTCTTGCTTTTCTTTCACCCTGATGTACTCTTCATGATGTACAGTGAACATACAGAAAACTGCACAAATTTTAAATACGCAGCTTGATCCATTTTCATATCTGCTTAGCACCCAGATCAAGAAGTAGAAACTTCCAGCACCCAGGAGCCTCCACGGTGCCCCAACCAGTCACCATCCCTTCCTTCTGAACACCATTATCACGACTTCTAAAAGCATAGGTTACTTTGGCCTGGTTTTGAATTTTAGGTAAATGGAATCATATAGTATGTCCTCTTTCGCGTCCTATTTCTCACCCCTAACATTGTTTGTGAGATTCGCCTATGTTGTTGTGTGTAGCCGTGCCTCATTCATTCTCAGTGGTGAGCAGATATGCATCATATCAACATACCTGCAATTCATGTATCTAGTCCAGGCATCCCCAAACTACAGCCCTCGGGCCACATGCGGGCTGCCTGCACATTTATCTGGCCCTCTAGGTGGTTTTGCTCCCTCTGTCTGTCCTGCTTAGCAGCCGACTCGTCCCGGGCCCACAGTGCGCACTCTCCAATGGTCTAAGGGACAGTGAACTGGCCTCCTGTTTAAAAAGTTTGAGGACCCCCGATCTAGTCTATGGTTCATGGGCATTTGGGTTGTTTGAAGGTTGGGGCTATTATGCATAATGCTGCTATGAAGATTCTTCTACATATCTTCTGGCAAACATATGTATATATCTTCCCCCAACATTTTATTCTTTTTTACATTTTTTTAATTTTTAAAAATACATCAAAGCACCCAGATTCTCACAGTCTAAACTCCACCATTAACATGTTACTGTGATTGCTTTATCACAGTATCTTTCCATCCCTAATCCGCCCATCTTCTTGCCTGGGGTGCATTTCAAAGTAAACAGCAGATAGTGTTATACTGCCCCTTAAATACTGCAGCATGCATATTTTAACTCAAGCTCAATATTTATTTAGTTTTTTTTTCTTTTGATGTAAAATGTATACGTGTGCAACTTCCTATTGGCTACATATTCTCAAGAGAGGAGCTGCGGGGCACAGGCTGTGCATGTGCTCGATGCTGGTAGGATACTGCTCAACAGTTTTTCAAAGTGGTTGTGTTTGTTTGCCTGTCTGTAGGTGCTAAATTGATCCCCATTTTATTTTGATGACTCCACAGCCCAGGCTTTGCATAAAGTCACAAGAAGGTGGAAGTAACCTTAGAAATCCACTCTCTTTTCTGCCTGAAACAGACGTGTATCTGAGCGCCAGTCATCTCTTTAACGGGGTCTCTTGATCATTGTCTGTCTTAGACTTCGAGCCCCAAGACGGGGAGCTTCTGAGTCCCATTTCCAAGCACGGTGCCTGCCCTGGAGCGGGTGCTTAGGAGAACTGTGCTGAATGAATGAGTGGGTGCTGGGGGGAGACCTGGCGCCTCCCGGTCTCTGTAGGGCAGGGAGTACACGGCCAAGGTCAGTCTAAAGAGATGCAATTAGTGCTGCCCTTATAACCAAAGGGCCATCATCACAGCCACTCAAGCAAAACAAAGTGCCTGCCATGGAGGCTGCTTGGTTTCAAGGCTTAATTTAGCCTCTTCTCTGAGTTAGCCCGAGATAACTCTGACTCAGGGGGAAGTGGAGGGGAATAATCAGGTCAGCTGTGTTTACTTTCTGAGGACTCTGCAGCAAAGCAAAGGCCCGGAAGAGGCCTTCTCCAACTCACACAAGAGTTGCGTCCCAGAAGTTTGTTTCTAAGGTGCTTGGGTCACCGGCCTGAATTTCCCCGTAGCAACCTTGCTGGGAGTGTGCCTGGATTCCCAGAGGAGTTACTGAGGGCGTCACAGGAGGGAATGGTGAGAATATGGTTCTCTTTGGGAAAAGGTGACTGGCCAGGGTGGGGAGGATGAACAGTGGTGGTGGAGAGAGGCCAGGAGATTAGCCTAGAAACCAGAGCAGAGACAGGGATGCACAAAGCATCCATAAAACAAAAGCAATAAACAGCAAGCAAAGGCTGAGGTCTGCAATGTCTGTCACAAAGCTTGCTACAAGGGTAAACATTCATTTATTCATTCACTCATTCCTTCCTGCCAGGAGCTGGGTGGAGGGGGGCGTGGGGATTGGCTGCTAATGGGGAAGGCATTTCTTTTGGGGGCAATGACAATGTTCTCAACTTAGATTTTTGGGATGGTTTCACAACTCCGTGAATAGACTAAAGCTGTCCAATTATACATTTTAAATAGGGAATTTTGTGGTTTGTGAATTATATCACAATGAAGACATGGATTTAAAATAAACAGCATTTGCGATGGTATCTGAAGTATAAAGTGCTTAGAAATAAGTCTAACAAAAATGTCTAAAATTGTATAAAGAATACTACAAAACTTTACTGAAAGACATAAAAGCAGATCCCGTAAAAATGAAGATATACCATTTTCACAGGACACAAGATTCAGCATCCTAAAAACGTCAGCTCTTCCTAAAGTGATCTATAGGTTTGTTGCAGTTTCGGTCAAAATTTCTAAAGGATGTTTGGTGATATTTGACAAGCAGATTCTAAAATGCATGCCAAAGTGCAAAGGGATAATAGCCAAGATACTTGCTGAACAAGAACAAGGTAGGGGATTGGCCCCATAGCATACCGTACAAGCCTTATCATACAAACCTTAGACAAACAGGCCAAAGGAACAAAAATGGAGTTAGGCTACATGGACACTAGTCAATG